CTTCAAAATATTTTTACTCTTGTCGAGCTATTTATACAAATGTCAAATTTTTATAATTTTTTTTCAACTATTGCCGATAAAAAATTTTTCACCAGATTAAAGAGTATAAAAATTGATTACAAAATTACAAAGTTCTTATAGGTGTTCAATATCATAAAATATAAATAAGTGGATTTTTTTTTACATTTTAAGTTAACATTTTCGACAATAATGATATTCAAACAAAGCATAACGATGTTAGTTATTTCATTTTAATTTAAAAACAATATTAATCTAGACTTAAAACTTTATTCACATAATGAATTTTATTACACTATGTATATTGGCATTTTCAACATATAGAATATTTTATACACATATCAATATTTATACCATGAACCTATCCACATTTTTTACGATAAAGTGACATTGACTCAAAATGTAATAACAATAATATAATTATACGGCGGTATAAATATATAATAATACATTATACTGTTATAATAATTAAATATTTTATAAAATAATAAAATGCTATGTTTTTGGTAAAACTTCAATCAACCTATCGTAATGTCAATATCAATAAACAAAACATAAAACATACTTAGTAATATAGGCTGACAGGCTATCTTTGCTCAGAATTGTTTTTTCATATAGAATGATATACATTTAATTCAAATTTAGCACATTTATTACAACGACCTAAACGACACCTATTGTACAGCAGATCGGTACCCATTTGCCCACCTTTGTTCTATTGTATCTGACGATGCTCCAAAATTAAAAATTTAATTTGTTCTTTTTTTTGTTTTTATTTTACAAGAATGTATTACCAACAATATAGGTACTATAAAAATGATTTTAAATTATAAATATTAATAAAAACGTTGAAAAAATAAAATAAAATTAGATAAATAACAATTTAAAACACAATCGAATTACTTTGTTATATTATGGATGCAATAGACATATTATGATTCACTATAGAATAATAATCAATATCTAGCTATTCCCAGTTAACTATCTAGTTTTTTATAACTTAAAAAATGCTAAATAAATTACATTGTATAATCTAAGGTAAATGACTATTGCAATTTCCAGCTACTTTTGCGCTAATAGTTGTATATTAATCATCATAATAATTTGTCCAAAATGCCCTCGCGAATTATAGAAACGAAACAGACGTGTAGTTTAGTAGCGCATGAAGTATGCGAGTATAATATTTTATTCAGAAGTGTCGTTGTGTATTTTCAATCAATAACCTGATGAAATATTAATCTTGTCAAGAGTATCCTTAGAAAACATTTTTAGATGCATGTTACTTATCAGCCTCTTGGCGTCAACCGAAAACCACCATTACCATCACCGCCACCACTGTAACTTCTACCGCCGCCAAAACCACTGACATCGCCATCACAGGTTTATCGAATCATTAATGCATAACATTCCTCATATAACAACATAATGTAAGAACGGCTGAAATTAATTACGCATTAGCTATAATAGCTACATACTCGCGGAATCAACTATTCATATAAATAATAGATAGTTGAAGGTAGGTAATTAATATTTTACAATGATTTAAAGTTTCCATTTGTACTATTCCAAACCGGCTATAAACATTTATTTAATGGATCACAATAATATTACGTGTAATTATCATGTTTTTTTTTTTTTAACGAATAACACTGTTGTAGAGGTAAAAATCATCTAACATCCCTGTAAAATCTTAATTATTTCGCTATACTCATTATTTACTCGTAAATATAAAAAGATATAATAAATATTTTATTATTTGAAAATCGATTTAAGTATAAATGTATGTGTATGGTATTTAAATGATTAAATAATAATAATAAACTTAAAAGCCAATAATCTAGATTTTAAATAGTATATATAATATATATATATATATATATATATGTATGTACCTGTATAACACAACAATTTAAAAGTTTCCACGAAAAACTCCACAAAGTAGATGGAGCTCGTCACTACAACATCGGCAAGAGATCCATAAATCTGAGACTCAAACCTCGGCTACCTCAAGACATCCTACTAAATCCCAATGAAGACACCTCAATCTCAGATACTGATCCAGACTCATAGCTAACCAAAACTATTATACATTATATAATAATATTATGATCTGTAATCTGTAAAATAGTAACATCGTAAAAATACCAAGTGTATTGAAACAATTATATAATAAATAAAAAAATATATGTATCAATAAAATGTAGGTAAAACAAATAACGAATAAAATATAGATTACATAACACATAATAATACATATATTTTAAAAAACAGCTACCTATATTGTTATAGTTAATATTTGTGTTTTTATTCTGAGATAACATAAAATATCTATATATTTGTATAATACAACAAAATAAAAAAATTAATTAATTTTTTTTTCTTAATTTAAAACAGACCAGTTCTAGTTGACCCGGACAAATCAAGATTAACCAGGATCACCCATGGCATTGGATATAATTTAGTCACATGAATGTATTTATGCATGGATACTTATTTGCGGTTAATATATAGTACAACTTACATCATATAATGATATAATAAAAATTACATATAATTACATATGTAATAAACTTCAAATTTTTATTTTTATTTCTTATTGGAAATTTTTTTTGGGTTCATATACGTTATTATTTAAAAGTAAATGGTAATGTACCTATGAACAAATAACTTGACTTTGTGAAAAAGATAGTTAAATGTATTATTATAATTTTTTTTTTCGGGCAGGCTTTTGTAATAGTAATATTAGTAATATTGCAACAATATTATCAAAGAGCATTATTGTGATATTATTAGACAACAAAAATGTACTTCTAGTAAAAAGTATTCAAAACAATTTGATCAGGTTCTTTTATCACAGGTTTGCTACCGGTTGGTTGGATAGCAACAACCGTGTTTACATGGTCAGGATCTTACAATTTTCCATTCTATAGTTCTATTTCTTTTTACTGTCAATTTCATATTTATTTCGTTAGAAACCCCACAGGTGTCCTGTCTGAATATTTTCCCGGTTCGAGTACAATTTAGAGCACGTACGTTTCTATTACGATTTGTAAGGTTATACACGTGCGTGAATTATTTTGTTCAATCTAAAATGCGTGTCTATACTCAATTTTTTTGATAAATTACAATCATATTTTTCTTAAATTGATTTCTTCTGACAACAATGTTCTCTTAGCTATTTCTACAGCTGGACATGACTTATCTGGCGAATAGTTAAACAGCAAGGTTGAAACGTGTTGAAGTTACTAAACACTATATTTTAAACTTTCGTACACCACGCAACTATATTTTTAAATCACAGATTTTTCAATTTATTCGAAACTAATTTGCCAGATAATGTGTTCATAAAGTTTTTAAATTCACATTTATCTATGATATTCGTGATTATAACTTAAAAGCTATATAAACACTATTAACAACTATTGAAATATGTTTTGTATTAAATATTTTTTACTATCTTTATATACATTATACATAATTAACTTATATTCTGACTTATTTGTAATTAAATAATTATACTACCTGTATATTTCACATCTTATAAATTATAATTAAAATAATAATTTATCACCACTATAAATATCGATACTTTACGGCACATAATCTTGAAATGTAAAACTTCAACTTCAAAAACTTCCATACTTATATAAAATATCACATACATTTTGAACAACTGGATGTGTTTGATTATTTTTTATCTCCTATGATTTCAATTTTTGTACTAGCTGACAAATACTAATATACAAAACCTTTATTTTATGATAATATAATAATGATAAAAAAATGAATATTAATATTATTAAGATATTAAAGCATTTTAGATACCATAAATTTATCATTAAAATTCTTTAAATTCAGCTACTTAGCTTACTAATATAACGCCAAAAAATAATAGTCCTTAAAAACATTAAAAAATATTTTAATATAATAATAATTATGTATTTTATATTTTTTTAAAGTAAATCATTTTTTTTTTTTTTTCATTGAAAACGTTATAATATTTTGTAATTTTAAAATATCATGTATTGATAGTTAAAAAATACATGAAAATTAATTTTAGAATTCAAAAGTATTCTAATTATTATTTTTTAGGTAAATAATTAAGAAATAACTCACGTTGTGGAATTCAGACATATGTCTTTCATTTTTCTCTTATTTCAACATATTTTGACAAATTAGAAACTTAAATTTCCTAAAAGTATACACATTTTGATTTAACGCAATAACGTACTTATTACACAACAGACCTACGTTTTAAAATTACGTTCTACTGATAATCGCACTAAACGTAACGGGATAAATTTCAACTCCAGCGAACGGTTGTTTCAAGTCGGTGAATTCGTTCGGTACTGGGGACTTGTATCGTACAGTGTACCCCGCCGCCAGCGCCGTCGCTGCTCTCGTGGTCCAATCGTTCAGATTGTGGTTACCACGGTAACGTCTTCATCGCTGTCACCACTACGGCAGTTTGTGCTGATCAACTGTATAGAGGTATATCTTACAATACCACTAACGGTATGCACGGTAACATAGTATGATTATTACAAAATAATTTATTTAAACGTAATTTTAAAAACGATTAATCTATGAGAGTGACCATACAAAAAGGTGATCCTAAATATTGTTAATCACAGTTATTTTTAAAAAGTTAGTGAATACATATAAAATTTAAAAAAATCGAGTATAAAAAAACATAAAAAGGAGAATATCATAAAAATTCAAAAAAAATGAAAATAATTAATATTAAAGGATTTGTTAATGACTTGATATTAAAAATTAAACTAATAAAAATAACTACAATATTTTATTAATTAATAAAATAAAAATAAATAAACTCTCAGTAGTAAATATAAAAATACATTTAATAAAAAAAACATATTAACTTGTATACAAAATTCATGAAATTAACACATTAAACATTATTATAATTGGTAAATGGTAACGATGGACGGTAACAATATTTTATATATAACACACTTGAGCAATTTAAATAAACATTACATTTGAATTGGCAAATTAAAAAACTATGACTTTATAATAATACAATTTTAAATGAACATTTAGATTTAACGTTTTTTCTGAGATTCCGATTGATTTTGTAGTTCAAGTAACAATTCATCTCCTAAGCTATCTAACGCATCTAAATTTTCGTTACCAATTTCATTTTTCAACTGCGATTTTAACTGTCGAATACCAGACTCTACATCTCTCCTTTGAATATTAAATCCATTTAAAGCTGTGAACAAACCAAAATGTTAATTATAAATAAATATATTTCCTCAAAAATAAAATATAAATACTTTTAAAATTTAGCGAAATATAAATAATTACTTATAAAATACTTCATTTACAAAAAATCAACGATTATTTTACCTTTATTAAACAAATCCAATTGCTGCTGACCACCAAAACTATCATCAGTAGATATATAAGATGGATACTGGGTAGTCACTTCTTGTATGAATTTATTATTTCCTCCTTCATATAATGGTTCAAGAGGCGGTAAATACGTAGGCGGATATTGTGTTGAAGAAGGATATTGTGGACATCTTGGATCCGGGGAACCAGGATAACATACCACTGACTCTTGACTAACGCAACGAGGATCGGTGGAACCAGAATAACACAACGGGGGTGTAATAGGTTTAGGAGTTGAACTGTTGCACAAACAAACAAAAGGAGTTTGAACAGGGGCGATTTGTGGACAACGTGGATCAGTTGATCCTGGGTAGCAAGTTGGTTTAGAAGGTACTGGATAATATGTTGGTGGTGGGGATGGCTTTGGACATCGTGGATCATTAGAACCAGGGTAACATGCAGGTGGTGCAGGTGTTGATGGCACTGGATATGACGTAGGTGGTGGTAATGGCTTCGGACATCTTGGATCCTTTGATCCTTGGTAACAAATTGGTTCAGGAACTGTTGGTGTTGGTAATGGGTAAGAAGTTGGAGGTGGAGATTGTTGTGGACATTTTGGATCATTTGATCCAGGGTAACATACAGGTGGAGCAGGCGTTGATGGTAATGGAGAATATGTTGGTGGCGGAGATGGTTTTGGACATCTAGGATCAGTTGAACC